AAACTCAAAGTTTGAAGCAATCTATGAAGAGGAAACATCACGGAACTTTCACAAGGTGAATCGCAACTTACCCAAGCACCCAAATCAGTGAAAACTCAATGGTTTGAAGCAATCTATGAAGGGGAAACATCACGGAACTATCCCTAGGTGAATCGCAACTCACCCAAGCCCCCAAATCAGTGAAAATCGCAGTTTTGACAAGAGGGGGAGGGGGAGGAGGAGGAGAGGGAGAAAGAGAAGAAAGGGAGAAAAAGAGGAAGAAGAAGAAGAAGAAGAAGAAGAAGAAGAAGGAGAAAAAGAGGAAGAAAGAAGAAGGAGAGAAGAAGGAGAAGAGGAGGAAGAAGAAGAAAAAGGAGAAGAAAAAAAAGAAAAAGAAGAAGAAGAAGAAGAAGAAGAGGAAGAAAAAGGAGACCTCCTTTCTCCTTCACTCACCTCTTGCTGATCTCTAGGCTGTGAAGTCCCAATGCTTGGTCCTAGCCTCCTGAGTACGGCTTTTCCTCTCTCCCAAACTCTCTCCTCCTTCCTTCACACCTTCCCTTTGGCTATGGGAGGTTCCTACTTCTAAGGTTGTGGAGTCCTTCCCTCTAGAAGGGCTATGGGGACCCCTTTCAGCCTCTCCTCCTACTCCACAGCTTGAGGGCTATGGCGGACTACTCTCCTTGCTTCCTCCTAGCCTCTAGGTCACCTTTCTCAGCCTTACCACCATAGCCAGGCTACAGGCTAGCTCCGACTCTCACTTCCTTGCTCTATCTCACTAGTACTCACTTACGGACTCATTTGGGCAGCATGGGCACCTCTCATGCTCAAATGAGAGTTGCGGCCTACACCTCCAGCTTATATAGGCTGGAACAGGTGCACCACCCAACCTCTAGGCCCCTCCAAGTGCCTCTAGGTGGAGCGAGGTACCCCAAGGGCCAAATTTCCAATTTTGGCCTACCTGGAGGTACCTGGGCCTCATTTTGGCCAGGTACATGCAGTCCGAGAGGCTGGTACCCTCTTGGACTACCCCTTGGCCTACCCCGGCATCTTTTCTTTTCAAAAAGTGCTGCCTTTTGGGTACCACTACCCCAAAATGCAGCCTTTACCAAAATTTGAGGGCCTAGAGGTCCGTTTTTCGTTTTTTCCTAGGCTAGGCCTCTTATGAGTAGGCCGTTGCATTTTTCCAAGTGATAGCACAGATCTCAACCTTGGATTTGGCTGAGATCTATGGTTACTCCAAGCTCCTCTTGCTCCAAATTTGAGTCCTTTGCCCCAATTTTCAATTTTTTTGATGTACCTGGTCCAAACCTTGGGCCAAATTCGCAGTTTTGTCTTGCTCCCCTCTTTGTTTTCCCTCCATTTTGCAGCCAATTCATTCCGGAGCTAGCCGTTTTGCGTCAGCCCACAAAAAACGGCTAGATCCCCTCTACCACGGGATCAAATTTCATATCTAAGGCCCAAAAATGAGCCGGCCAACTCACATCAGCATTTTCCCTTATTTTTGTTGCTTTAATTCAGATATTGCAGAGATAATGCCCCAAGGGCCTTATCTCTGCAATCCAGACTGCACTCCTAGGATCTAGGAGGGATGAGGTCATCATTGGGACCTGCCCATCCCTACTGCTGCAGTCCCATCCTGGCGGCACTTTTTCCTCCACTCATTCCTCCTCCTTAGTCTCATTCTCCCCCCCTTTTCTCCTTTTTTATCTCCCTCTTTCTTTTATTGCTGTAGGGACAAGTGTCCAACAACTATTTCTCTTTTTTCTGGCTGTTGGACTTTACCCAAGGTCTGTTTTTGTAGCTGGCACATGGCCGTTGCACCTCGGACTGCAGTAGTTGCACCCCCCAAGGCCAAAGGGGGCTCCTTTTTGCTGCCGTCGCTTCCAGTTTGAGACCCCCTTGCTCCGATTTTCTCCGGACAGTCCTTTTTCCATGCGGAGCCCTTGGAACTTCGTTTTTCTTGGCCTGGCTGATCCGGGATACTCGGACCGCTGGCCGGCCCCTCTTACCGCCGCTGTTCCCTCTTTTCTTCCCCTCGGCACCTCCCGCCGACGCTTGCCGCGGTGATACTTAGCGCTTTCATCCGGGCTCCTTGGCCCGGACGGTCCCATCCACCTGGTGTCACGTTATTTTATTTTTGTTGTCGTTGCATCTGATCCATGATCCCCCTGGGTCGCTCCAGGTGTCCTCCGTTTTTCCCGTCGACAACTTTTGTCAGCGCCCGACTTCTCCTCCTTTTCTTATTGCTCCTAGTCCCCCCCCCTTCGTCCAACATCACCCTGGGTGACGACCCGCTCTCGCGCGTCCCTCTTTCGGGCTACCCCGTCGGTGGCTCCGACCTTCGGCCCCCGTCCGCGGCTCCTGACGCTTTATCCTATTGATACCCGCCCTATTAGTGGTCCCGCCGGTGCCGCCATCTTGTCTAGGCCCACGTGGTCCTTGGCACTTTGGTCCACCTGTACCACGTCTTCCCTTGATATTCCCAACGTCCTTCCGCCTTACAGCGATCTTTGCTCCCTGCTCCTATTGCATCCCGCATGCTATTCCGTTTCCGGGTGCCGGCTCCCTCCTACCCTGCGGTCCCCTTGGCCCTCCTGCCACAGCGTCGCATCAGTGCCTTGTGCCCTGCCCCTTCCCACTTCCTTCCTTTCCCTTGCTGCACACCTGCTATGTTGCTACCGACTTCCCGACGGTCCTTCTCCGTCCTTGGGGAAGGAGTCGCCCCTGCTGTTCTCTCACAGTCCCTTAGCCGCTTTCTGCTTAGCCAACCCATTTCTAGTCTGGCGGCCCCGACGACTCTGGGCAACCTCTGGCTTCCTACTGATCGTGCCCCTCTCGAGTGACGGGAAGTTATTCGGGACTCACCAGTCCTGACATATTCCCCCCACTCATTCGCGATGTCCTCATCGCGCACCAATCCATGGTCAGTAGGAATTTTGGAGTGATGGACAGATAGGGAAGAGAGGTGGGGTGGAATGGGTAGTTAGTTTGCCAGGGTTCTTTTTTTTGTCTTTCCCACTCTTTTCTCAGGTCCTTCTTTAAGTTTCCGCCCTTGAGGCGGGGGAGGGCATGGAGGGGTCAAGGTTTTGTTTCGGGTTTCCTTTGAATTGCGTAACGTCCCCAAACTCAATAATGTATTTGTAACGAGCGCGTGACATTCTCTGTGCATCAACGTTCGTCTCACAGCTGTATCTCTTTCTCACTGGAACTCCCGAATACCCAAGAGCTTCCCACCAACCTCCGGTGTCATCCCACAAAAGAGAGGACGACGAGCCCATCACCCTCCCAAGGGACCGTGGTAAGAGGAAGATTTTGACGGCGAATGTCATAAGGATCATTCGCCATGGCTTCCTCCAGGTGCGAGCTAGCAACACATCAAGGAGCTTAAGCAGCTTGATGTCTCTTTTCCTTATCAAGTTGACTAGCTCATTTTTTAGGAGAACGATCCCCGAAGGTAGTGTGCGAAAGTATAAACCCGTAGGCAAGAAGGTCAAGCCGGTCTCGATCCTAGTAGAAACGTCAAAGGAAGAGGCCATGGAGAAGGAGGAGGAAATCTTGCGGGTAATAAGGGAGAGGCGAGTAACGGAAGGGCATCGCATACCAGATGAGGTAGCAGACACCATGAAAATAGGAGTGCAAGGGTTTCTAACAGCGGAAGGAACTCGGTTGATAAGAAAAGCATGTCAGGAGTTTCATTTAGTTTTCGCCTTCAACGATCATCAGAAAGGACGATTGAATGCAAAGCTAGTTCCCCCTGTAAGGATCCACACCGTACAGCACGAGTATTGGAATGATAAAGGGCCCGCCTACGAGTTTGGGATAGCAGCGGAGGTCACCGACCTGCTTAGAGCCAAAATAGATTCTTTCGTGGCTGAACCCACCGCATCTTTCTACGCGAACAAGTGGTTCGTGTTCAGAAAGCCCAATAAGACACTCAGGTGGATCCAGGACCTGCAAGAGCTCAATGCGGTAACAATTAGGGACGCAGGCTCGCTTCCACAAACCGACTTATTGGCAGAATCTCAGGCAGGGCGGAGCATTTACTTCCTGGTAGACTTGTACTCAGGATATGATCAGTTGCCGCTCGACGCGAGGGATAGACCGTATACCGCAATGCACACCCCGGTAGGACAGCTGCAGATGCAAGTGACCCCTATGGGCTTCACAAATGCGGTAGCAGAAGCTCAGAGGAGGATGCTCGCCGTCGCAGGGGATATGTTTCCGAAAAAGTGTGAACCTTACATAGATGATAATCCCGTGAAAGGCGCAAGATACAAGGATGAGACGAAAGTACAACCGGAAGTGCGGAAGTTCGTCTGGGACCACTTGCAGGATATTAAGGACTTACTCCAGCGATTCCTAGTCTACAACATTACTGCAAGCGGACCCAAGAGCATCCTGGCCGTCCCGGAAGTAACCATACTGGGATTTCACTGTGGAGCTTATGGGAGGAGACCCGATCCAGCAAAGACTGATAAGATCTCTCAGTGGTCGACACCCCTGCGTACCACGACGGAAGTACGAGCCTTCCTAGGGGTGGTTGGGTTCTGGAGGATCTTCATCAAAGGTTTCGCAAAGATAGCAGAACCCATCCGCGCGAGAATTAGGGAAGGTGACACTATGGATTGGACAGAGGATAGGGAAGAGGCAGCCCAGACCCTGAAAGACATCCTGTCGTCCGATCAGGTCACGTTAGCAGCACCCTGTTTCAATGACGAGGTAGGGCGGCCCTTCATCTTAGAAACAGATGGGGGACCATTGGCAGTGGGAGGAGTATTGATACAGAGAAGCGAGGAGGGCAAAGAAAGTCCAATCAGATTTGAAAGTAGGACCTTGAGTTCAACAGAACGACGGTATTCGCAGTTCAAGAAGGAGGTATTCGCAATCCTGCATTGTCTTAAGACCTTCCAGGCATACCTGTTCGGGAGGCGATTTATCCTAAGGATCGATCCCACCAACGTTGTCGGAGCCCTAAAGAACTACAAGCCCATAGACCCGACTGTCGGCAAATGGATGGGCTTCATATGGCAATTCGATTATAAGGTCGAGCGAATTGCAGGGCTTCGAAATAGGGAAGATGGGTTGAGCAGGGTTTGTATYACGCAAGAAGGAGTAGAGGACGCAGAACCAATTGACGCCTTCCTGGAGTACGAAGGAGGGACCCTTGTCGTGGATAATGAGATGGCACATCCGGCAATTACAACAGGACAGTTGTTGATTCAGACCCAGGAAAAGGGCGCACCTGCAGTAGTTGCAAAACTCAGGGAAGGACCAGTCACCACGATCAGGCGTAAAGAGGAAAAAGACTCGTGGGGAGCAGAAGTAGGGGCCGGAGAGGAATTGATGGCAATGACTGTGGAAGGGGGATGGGACGTCGTAATGACATTGGCCGAAACCTGGGCGCAAAAGGAGTGTCAGTACCTAGTCAACCTCACTCGGGAGGAGCAGGGTGCGGATCGGAACGAACAGGAATTCTTCCTCATACAAATGTATGAGGGCGTTTTCAAAGAAATCGGCTTGCTGCTTGTCGGGAACAAACAGCCCACGGAAGTCAGTCCCAAGGCAAGGGAGGAAGTAGAAAAGTACGTCCTAAGAAATGGCCACCTGTTCAAGAGAGAGGAAGGGATGATGCCTAGACGCGTCGTTTGTGGGAGGTCTAGGCAGCTGGACATAATTCAGGCAATACATGATGGACTAGCTGGGGGTCACCGGTCGTCAAAAGAGACGCTTGCAAAGATTGTGCCCCTGTATTTCTGGCCAGGAATGGCAGGCATGGTCGCAACCTACTGTCAGACGTGTCTGATATGTCAAGAGAGGAGCTCCGTACGGGTTTACGAGCCCCTTAGACCCACCCGGGTACTGGGACCCGGACACCTTGTTCACCTCGACCTTGCCGTTATGCCCGTATCAACGGATGGGTTTAGATACATCTTGGATGTAAGGAATAATCTCAGTGGCTATGTAGAAGCGACAACCCTCAAGAAGAAGACGGGGAAAGCAGTGGCCGACTGGGTGGAAGATTTGTACCTAAAGCACCCCTTCGTGCGCAGGTTTATAGCAGACAATGGGACAAAATTTGTTAACCAGGAAGTGTTGAACAGGCTTAGGACACTGTGTGTACCGATCAAGATCACCGAGCCCTACCATCCTGAGGCAAATGCACCAGTAGAAAGGGGTCACCAGACTTTGAAGAACATAATCGCAAAGTTGGCAGCAAATAATTTAGAAAGTTGGCCACGGTTTCTCAAGCAGGCAGTTTTCGCCGAGAACATGACTCCAAAAAGAACAACGGGATGTATTCCAGCAGAACTCTAGTATGGAAGGGAGATCGATTTTTCGATAGAAGCTTTGGTCCCTACCTGAAACAAGCTAGATGACGACCCACACTTGAGCACGGAAGAGTTAATCACCGCACGTTGCCAGCAGGTTGCCAGAAATGAGGAGGCACTTGAGGAAGTAGTCAATTGTGTGACGGACAGCCGAATGAGGGATAAAGCAAGATGGGACCAGGTTAAGAACATTCAGAAGGAGCCACTCCAGGTGGGGGAAAAGGTGTTAGTTAGGAACTCGACTCTTGAAAGCACATGGTCCGGGCAACTAGGAAAAAGATTCAAAGGGCCTTACAGGATCGCTAAGCGGGTGGGACTGAACACATTTGAACTTGAGGATCTCGATGGTACTAGCATAAGAGGGTCATTTCCGGGACAGAGATTGGTCAGATTTCTGAGCAGGGATCCGGTGGAACAGTGGCTACAAGAGGCCCAGGACAGGGAAACTGCAGAACTGACAGCCTGAAAGACAGGCAGCTTGCTATAAGTTCTGGACTGCCTCCCTGTGGAAGTGATCATGACCACAGGGATTGTTCGTCTGTGTGTCTTGACTTTTGTGGAACGTGGGGAGACTGCTTGGGCTAACTGTGACTGGGTCTGGGAACACGGGACAATGTATTATAGTTTTTGTGGGGTAACACTGGGAACTGTCTACGCGAAGTACTTATGGGCTGGGACAATGTATCATAGTTTTTGGAGGGGGGGTGATGTCGTGGACTGCCTACATGAGGCACCTATGGGTTGGGACAATGTGTCGAGGGTTCTAAGGGATAATGGGGCTACCAACTATATGGGGGCAAGCAAGAGTCCTAGGGAAACCTCCAAAGCCNCTATGGGTTGGGACAATGTGTCGAGGGTTCTAAGGGATAATGGGGCTACCAACTATATGGGGGCAAGCAAGAGTCCTAGGGAAACCTCCAAAGCCGCAAATGGGAGTGGAAGGGAACGCGTGTGTATGAGGGGTTGTGGTGATTATTATGCATGAACAGGACTAGGCAAGGAACAAACGGCAACAGGCAAAATGAAATTCGGAAATGAAAATGACAGCAACGCTATCAATAGGCCTACTGAGGGGCAGTCATCGAGACAGGCTGGGGGATCAAGCTCCAGGAAGAGGAAGTTATATGTGGGGTTTGACCATAACCTGGTGCTAAACAGAGGGGGCAGGAAACAAGGGACCAGAGGGTCATCACCACTGAAGGAAGGGGAGCCAATAGAGTTGCCGTCAGAGAGTGATCCTAGCAGCAACGAAGAGGGGAACCCAGAGGAGGGACAACGGTCGGGGGAGAATGAGCCAGTTGAGTTCATCGACCTCACCAGCGACGAGGAGGAGGACGAGGTAACAACGCCCACAAGAGAAGAACGGGGAAGAGGGGAGCAGCCGGGAGAGAAAAAGGATAAATGGATAGAAGAGTTCGGGTATGAGTTCAGTGATTGGTTCGATCAATGGGGCACTATCTTACCAATGGATCATGAAGGCAAGGGAAAAGCTGGGCAGGGGAGAGGATCTAGCCCCAACAACCTTCTTCACGGAACAGACACTCCTCCAGTTTAAAAAAACAAAGAGGCAAATGGAACAGGAAGGGGAGAATCGCGCAAGGAGAGAGGCTCAACGCAGACCACCTGGACATTAAGGGAATAGCAGGCGCAATGGGGGGGGGGGGCAACTAGAAATTGGGAAGGGTTGGTACCTGGGCAGGGACAACTGCCATTTTGATTTTCGCATTTGAACTCTGTCAAATGGACTGAAATAAGGCAACTTTTGACTAAAGATTGGGCAATGGGTGCTACTTCGTGTAAGTCGTTGTTTTTCGGGAAAATACATAAGGATTAGTGCACTTAGATATAGAACTGTGACAGGTTGCGTTGGCTAAGAGTAAGTAAGGGGAAAACAAGGGGGATCTAGATGAGACGAGTCTGTAATGTTATCGTCACATTCGAACTGTGTCTCCTCCTTTTTGGGAAGGATTGCAATGAAACTACTTTTTGGCTTGAGGAAACTAGCGAGGGTTGGGAGCCTTGTGCTACTTTGTATGAGTATTCGCTTCTTTGGGGAAAATGTGAACTTTTTTTTGTAGTAAGAAACGGACTTTGGGGATGATTGACTTTGCCTCGAGGAAATAAGCAGGGGCATGTGAACTCTTGAACATTGGAAAATGCAGTCATGGCGAGAGTTTTTCCTTTGAAATTGTGTATCCAGGACTGAATGAGTCATTGCATGAGCCCTTGTGAGAGGTTAGAGGACCTATGGGTAAAGAGATATCCTCTTCCCTAGGAGCCTAATCCAACCTACCGCAGACAAGTCCAAACCGTTGACGAGTATATGAGAAGTCAGAAAAGTGGCAGGGAAACATTGAAATGATGCAACACCCCTCGCAATGGTTGAACGGTCGGGCGGGCTAGTGCTGCTTGAGGCCGCAAGCCTCAACCTGAGTACTAGACGCTAAGTCGGATGTATGGATAGATGTAAAAATGACAAAAGACATGGGGAAAAGGAAGAAGCATGCGTAGAAACCCAAGACGATGGCGGCCCTCTAACCCCCGAGACGAGATAGGATCCGTGTCTTCGAGGCCCACCCCCTCGGGCGCTAACATTGCAATGGACAAGGATGGCCCTAACCAGACTGCCCAATTGAAATGGATAAGGATGGTCCTAACCAGGCTGTCCGATTGCAATGGATAAGAATGGCCTAACCAGGCTGTTCGACTTGGAGATGGAAAGAACGACCTTAACCAAGTTGTTTAGAATGGCCCCTGACAAGGGTCATTCTCTGGAATTGGCACTGGGGTCCCCTTGCATGGCTGCTTGTGATGCATGAAACTGGAAGAGCGGAACTTTGGAAAAGAGATTGGAAGAACTGAGCTTTGGAAAAGACATGGGAAGAGATATTGGACTCAGCCGTGGAAGGGATATTGCATTGAGTATTGGACTGAGAATGAACACTGGACTGAGATTGAGCCTGGGAATGAGACTGAGCATTGAAATTGAAGTGAACCTTGGAAAAGGCATTGCATAAACAGGGGACCCTAGGCAACTGGAAATGGACTTGGAAAGAGCCTTGGAATGAAACTTCTTTTTTTTTAGTCTTTGGCCTCAGCAAGAGGGGGATACTGGTGCATGCACCACGACCCCAAGACTTCTATCCCTTTGAGGGAAAAAATCTCAACGCGACCTGTTCCTCTTCGAGAGGGTGAGGGTTAAAGGACTAAGGCACCTACCACTTGGATCGGTGCGGGACGTCCGAAACCACCTCCGACAATGAGCTCTAGTCGGGGAGTTCCAACTGCACCTCCTGTTGAATGCCTAAACGTCAAAGGGCGAGAGAGCCAAACGGGCAGGGAAACCATTCTCATCTAGTCTATTTTGCTACTCTCCAACCACACGCCACGCCATAGAGGGGTGGCATGGCCGTTTGGGTCGGACCACGGCCGCCCGCACTAAGTTGGGCGGCACTGTCCAAGGGGAGAGGCCGGGCGAGGTACCGGGTGGAGTTCGCCACCACCACGGGGCATTGACACTGCCCTGCCGAAACATTGCAACCGTTTCGGGACTAATTGCGAGGACTTCGTAACTGCACTCGCGAATTGATCGAGAGTCCCAACTCTCTTGAAAAGAAGAGGCCGGAATCCAGAAAACCACCACTCGGGAGGAACGATTCGCGAGGAACGGTGTTACTGCTAGACGAGGCCCTGGCAGGCTTGGATTGGACCTACCTGGCAGATGTGAGGAGGAACCTTGGTATTGGTGCTCGCCACGTAAGAGAAGAAAAGTCGGACCGGATAGAAGGATGAGGCGTCGTCCGCTGGGGAAGAACTGATCACTCTTCCTTTTGTGAAGCGGATGGGTTTGTGTCCTTGACTTGCGGTCGGCGGGCCAAAGGTCTGCGTACCTCCGAGTGAGAATCAGTCGCGCGATGGGGAAATTGCGTTTTGAGTGAGGGGAAGGTGTGCCGTCTACCAATGAATACGCATGAAAATAAGACTTGTAATTGCTCTTGGGAAAAAGGGGCCTGTCAAGATGGCGGGAACAAAAAAATATTGTAATTGACTTTGTATGGGCTTGAGAAAAGGGGGCCTGGCAAGACGCCAGAACAGAAAAGACTTGAGTAAATGACATGGTATAAACTTGAGAAAATGGCTTGGCAAGATAGCCAGGAAGGAAAGGGCTGGTGTGATTGACTTTGCATAGACCCAGGAAAGGAATTGGCAGACTGAGAATTGGCTGTGTAATTGGCTCGTATAAGCTCAAAAAGATGAGAAGTGGCTGAGGGGTGAGCCAAGCAATGCACATGGAGAGTCAATTAAGTAAAGGCCAAGAAAAGGCAGAGGATGAGATGCATGCGGAATTGGCAGGACCTGAGAAAGGCCGGGAGGAATGACTCGGGAAGGATGCATGTGGATTTGGCTATGTCTGAGCTTCGGGGAGAGGAAAAATTATATTGAAAATGAGTGGATGTCCTAAGAGTAATAAATGAGACAAAGCCAAAATAATTTTTGCTCGAGAATGTTCTTTTCAATGAAATGGGAAGATAGATTTGAGATTACAAATGCAGCCTTCAAGACATTGTCGAGAGCGAGAAATAACGTACAATGAAAAACTAGTTGCAGGGCATGTCTGTGGTCAGACCCCTCCAAGGGGGATTGGCCTTGCTACCTCCAAGACGCGGGGCTGGATGCTGACTAGCTTTCCATTCAGACGGTAGCCCTTCGAACCCCATCCTCAAATCTGGCAAGCGCTGCGAGATCCACCCCCACTTTGTGGTACCTGATGGCCTTAACGAGTTGTAATAAATCTGGGATTTCAAGCACTACCTCTGACGTTTCGTTCCGGTCTTCCTTTAGTTTGGGCAGGCTGGCCCCAAGTTCGACTTCCGACTCTTTTTCTGCCACCATAACTTTTAGGGACTCGTCCTCTGGCCTCCTCTTCTTTACAGGCAAGCCCATCTTGATCCATTCCTTTTTACTAAAAGCCTCCTCAATCATAATTTCTACCCTTTCCCTCATTCCTTCCATTCGTGCGAATGCCCCCTTTCGTGCACTTTCTTCGAATGTTAGCGACCAGGTTGCCAATTTGCCCTTCGGAGGGTCCCCTCCATTCCCAAGGAGTCGGAGGAGTTCTCCGCGACCAGTCACCGGATCCTCTATGTCTACCATGTACGTGCCGTCATGCAAGTGCATGCCAATCATTTCTACATTGGCGCACCATGGCCTCCCAAGGATTATGCCATGGTCCATTTCTTCCATGACGGTCATCCGTTGGAAAGACCAGATGGATTCCCGGACTCCTGCCCGGACCGCGCATTTGGTGATGTACTCAGTGAAGGGGATTTCTCCACCGGCTCCCCTGATACTCCCTGCTACCTCCTTGTTTATTGTGCACCCGATGATTGTTGCGAAATCCCGTCATATGAGGGTAATTTCCTCGCCGCCATCCACTAATGCATCGGTGTGGTGAGTTCCGATCTGGATTTTAAGCTTTCCTACGGACAGTGCGTGAAAGCTAAGTTTAGTGTCAGGCGGTGCTCTCATGACTTCACCACCGTCTCGGTTCGGCAGGTTCAGACGAATGTCAACAAAAGTTTTTTCCAAATCTTCCAGGCCCCCTTAGATGCTTTGGAGGTTGGAGACTCCTTGCGGTGCCTCGGCCTCTTCCGTGTCTTGCTCTTGCAGTTCCGGGGCCTCTTCTACCTCTACGCGTTAGCAACTGCCTAAGTCCTTTAAGCAACCTTGGGCTGGCTTGCAGCATAGTCTGAAAAGACACCGATACCATGGTACCCAGTAGCTTACTCAAGGTGCCATCGATTTCTGGCAAAGTCAGGATCGGAATTTGATATCTGAACTTATTTTTTGCCGCCGTAGCCTTATCTACTGGTTCCTCCTCCCTTGGCTTCCCATAGACCTTTTCTTGTTCCCCGACTTCGGTCTTTTGCTGGCCCGTGTTAGTCCCTGCGAGTTCTTCCATTACTGTATCTTGCACAAGCTTCTTTTCTGCGCCGGCCCGACGAGTGGTGATATTTACCCTGTCGTGGCCATTGCCTTCTAGGATAAAATTGGCCTGTGGTCCCCGTCCCCTTGGCTGGTCCCAGACAATCTCGGCTATCGGTTCTGTTTCTACGACAGCTATTTCTAGGTTATTCAGGAGAATGACGGCTCGCCGCATCCCCCCTGGCGAGTTCCAATTGACACGCTCCCCCCTAGGTCCGAGGATCTCACCTTTGAGGGACCTACTGCATCTCTGCCGCTCGATATCGTGATTGAGTCTCGGACAGGCCCGTACGAAATGCCCGATCATGGTGCAATACTTGCATTGTTCGTTGGMCGGGTCCCTCCTGCCAAACCCCCGGTTTGCTACAGCTGCAGGAACCACGGCCTCTTGGGGCGGGAGGGCGGGTCTGAAAACTTGCGCCTGCATTACTAATAGTGCATTTTCCATTCTTTCCATCTTGCTATCAATCTCGTGCGCCCGTTCGTGCAGGCTCTCTATCCCCTTCTTGACCTTATCCCCTGTTTTCCCGGTCAGATCTATGACCTCCCCTTCCTTAAGTAGGGCTAGCGTATCGGTAACCACTGTCTTTTCC